TTTTTAAGCCAGTAATAAGCCTTAAAGTGATTTTGTATGGAGGACCGATCCACATAAAATTTGTTGGAAAGGTTTTAACTTCTAAGGTACTTACTTATGTCAAATTTCTTTGTGGTACTCGTATTTTTAAGCCAATAATGAGCGTTAAAGTTATTTTCTGAAGGGGATCTTATATGGGCGGTAGGGTCAATTATGGACCGATCCACATAAAATTTGGTGGAGAGATATTGGCTTGCATGAAACTTATGTGTGTCGAATTTCGCTATATTCGTATTTTTAAGCCAGTAATCAGCATTATTATGGCAACTAAATCAGCATTATTATGGCAACTAAATCACATTATATTTTTGTCAAAGGTGTAGGGTATTATATGGTCGGCCTCGCCCGACTATAATTTCTTACTTGTTTTTTAATATTTTCTCCTTTTGGTTTTTTGCCGGTAGCAGTAACATTTTTGGGTAAAATATACTTACACACATACATATGTATGTACATTGTACATATTTTAATTTATATAAATTTTGTGTAAATGCTCATTAAGTGCCCAGCAGTTTTTGGTGATTGTCGGGAACTAGTAGTTAGACATAATCAGAGAGTTAACAGGTATAACATTGGTTTGTGTTAGGAAAGTAATCGATCAAAAATGGACAAATGACTACATTATAGATTACTGGTGGTGTGTTGAATAACTACATACTGAGTTACAGTGCATATAAATTAAAAATAAAACTTTACGATCGATTTCTAAAAGGTAAGAGAAGATAAATCAACTCCTTTTAAAACTACTGGGTAATTTTGTATAAAAGTTTGAGGCTTACTCTGTGTAGAGGTATGTGAATTATTTTTATATTGGTGTGAGTAAATTGTTATATTAGTGTACTGTTTATAATTATACACCGAAGCAAAGATGAACGATCCAACATAACGTTTTCAAGGACATAAAATAATATTTACAGTTTATGTAAAAATTCCATTTTATTTGTAGGGTCCTTTGCTACAATAAAGAAAGACTTTTTTAAACTAGCAGATCTTTTTTCCGCTCCTCGAGTATCAAGTGTATAGCCATTAGTACATTTATTATTTCGGTTGCCTAAATGTATGTAAATACAAATAAAAATATATATGTACAAATATAGTTTTATAATGTATTTGTATTGTATAACTTAAGGCTGTTGAATTGAAATGAAAACAGAAAATATTCTATGTTTTTTCCATATACTACTGCTCTTAATGTTGCTTTGTGTAACCGTGTGTTATGGTGTGAGTGGTTTTATAATGTTGGTGAGTAAATTATAGGGGAACAAAATGAGGGCTAAATAAAACAATAATTGTAATTATTATAATGTTTAATTAGATGGAATCTGAATTATAGTGAGGGCAATGTTAATATTTAGACAGTCTTTTTTCTAGCAAACAACCCCTGATATTTGATATGATTTTCCTTTTTTTGGTAACGAAATGTATAGAAATATTTTGTTTTGTGAACATAAAATATTTATGTCTTTATTTAGTGTAGATAATAAAATATTTAAAATTACTTTATTTAAACAAGGAATTAAGAGAAATGAAACGAAGGTGGGAAAATTTTCTATAAAATGAAATTTATGAAAGATTTTCTAAAAAAAAAGAAAATATATGGAAAATTTTCTATAAAGAAAAATTATGGAAAATTTTTAAAAAGAAAATTTGTCCAAAATATTCTATAAAAGTAAAATTTATGGAAAATAATCTATAAAAGTAAAATTTATGGAAAATATTCTATAAAAGTAAAATTTATGGAATATTTTCTATAAAAGTAAAATTTATGGAAAAGTTTCTATAAAAGTAAAATTTATGGAAAATTTTTTATAAAAGTAAAATTTATTGAAAATTTTCTATAAAAGTAAAATTTATTGAAAATTTTCTATAAAAGTAAAATTTATGGAAAATTTTCTATAAAAAGAAAATTTATGGAAAATATTCTATAAAAAGAAAATTTATGGAAAATTTTCTATAAAAAGAAAATTTATGGAAAATTTTCTATAAAAAGAAAATTTATGGAAAATTTTCTGTAAAAAGAAAATTTATGGAAAATTTTCTATAAAAAGAAAATTTATGGAATTTTTTCTATAAAAAGAAAATTTATGGAAAATTTTCTATAAAAAGAAAATTTATCCAAAATTTTCTATAAAAAGAAAATTTAGTGAAAATTTTATATAAAAAGAAAATTTATAAAAATTTTTCTAAAAAATTAAAATTTATGGAAAATGGAAAAGAAAATTTGTGGAAGATTTTCTATAAAAAGACAATTTTCTTTGAAAAGAAAATGTATGAACGATTTTGTATAAAAACAAAATTTATGGAAAATTTTCTATAAAAAGAAAATTTACGAAAAATTTTCTATAAAAAGAAAACTCATGGAAGATTATTGATAAGAAGAAAACAAGTTAGAGTGTTATATTCGGCTATGTCGAATCTTTTATACCCACCATCAAATCACTGCCATACAAATAAACTTTGATATTTTGAATATTTTATTATTATATATCGATATTAATGAGAACATCAAGGTAATATTTGAATTCAGTTCCTTATTTATTTCAAATTACATAGGTCTACTTGTAATTTTCTTAAAGGGATCTTATATGAGGTTAGGCTTAACTATGAATCGATCCTCATAAAATATGGTAGAGAGATTTTAGCTCAAAATTAGTTTATGTCGAATTGCGGTATTCGTGTTTTTCGAGTTTTAGTCATTTTCTGAGGGGGAATTTACATTATGGGGTGGGTTCATTATGGATTGATCTTCATACAAATTGGTAGATTTCGGTTCCTATAGAACTTATCAGTGTTGAATTTCATCGCTCTACTAGCATTTTTCAGCCAGTAATGAGCTTTAAAGTAATTTTCTAATGGGGACCTTAAATCGGGGGGTAAGTTTTAAAATCATTTTCAGAAGGGGCCTTTTATAAGGTAAGGTCAATTACAGACCAATTCTCGTAAAATTTTGTAGAACGATCTTGGTTCCTACAAGTCATGTTTATATCGAATTATATCGCTTTACTCGTTTTTTAGGCCAGTAATGAGCGTTAAAGTGATTGGGATCTTATGTGGGGGGTAGGGTCAATTACGGCGTGATCCAAATAAAATTTGGTAGACAGATTTTGGCTCGTATAAAACTTACTTTTGTGAAATTTCATCGCTCGTTAAAGTCATTTTCTGATGGGGATGGATCTTATTGGAACTTATTTGAGTCGAATTTCATTGCTATACTCGTATTTTTAAGCCAGTAATAAGCCTTAAAGTGATTTTGTATGGAGGACCGATCCACATAAAATTTGTTGGAAAGGTTTTAACTTCTAAGGTACTTACTTATGTCAAATTTCTTTGTGGTACTCGTATTTTTAAGCCAATAATGAGCGTTAAAGTTATTTTCTGAAGGGGATCTTATATGGGCGGTAGGGTCAATTATGGACCGATCCACATAAAATTTGGTGGAGAGATATTGGCTTGCATGAAACTTATGTGTGTCGAATTTCGCTATATTCGTATTTTTAAGCCAGTAATCAGCATTATAGTCCTTTTCAAAAGGGGGCCTTATATGGGGGTTAGGGTCAATTGTGGCCCTTCTGCAATAATGCAGAATTTTATTTTGGAAATCAAAGAACTCATTTATGAGAAATTTTGTGGCATTTGCTTTATAAACAACGAATTTGTGATAGTTTGAGGCTTTTTATACAATATTCCGGGGGTACATTTGTATGGGGGCTATGTGAAATCGTTGGCTGATTTTGCCGATTTTCAAAATTTTAATTTAATTTAATTCACTATCTCTTTTTCTCTGTGAACGCTATCGTGCCAACAACAGACGGACGGACGGACATAGCTAGATCGTATTTGAATCTTACTAGGTCCCAGAATATATATACTTTATGGGGTCTGCGAATAATATTTCTATGTATTAGACACGGAATGACAAAATCAATATACCTCCCCCCCCATCTTTTTTGATGGTTTGTATAATTATGTAAAATTTTTTATAAAAAGTAAATTTATGGAATTTTTTTTAATAAAATTATCTATAAAAGAAAATTTATCGAAAATAATTAACAAAAAAATTTTATAAATTTCTATGAAAAGAAAAATTTGTTGAAAATTTTCTGTAAGAAAAATATTATGAATAATTTTCTATTAAAAGCAAATTTGTTGAAAATTTTCTTTAAAAATAAAATTTATTGAAAATTTTCCATAAAAAGAAATTTTTTTAAAAATTTTCGATATAAAGAAAATTTGTGGAAAAATTGAGTGAAAATTTATGAGAAATTTTTATAAAAAGTGAAAATTTATCATAAAAATCTATAAAAAGTGAAAAGTTATTAAAAATGTTCTATAAAAAGATAAAATTTTCTATAAAACGAAAATTTATAGAACATTTTCTATAAAAGGAAAATTTATCGAACATTTCCTATATAAGGAAATTTATTGAAAATATTCTATAAAAGCAAGAGCAAATGATTCAATTTGCTTCATTACTTTTGTCAATTAAAGTTTGGAGTTTTATAATTTAAACGTCAATTCATACCTACACACATTTTTATACCCTACACTACTATAGTGGGAAGGATAACTTTCTGAGTCGATTTAACTTTGGCATACATGTTTTTTACGAAGAATATTGAAAATGGTTAAAATCGGTCCATTATTTCACCTCCATTTGCTCATATCCCCCATATAAAGCCTCTTTCAGAAAATTAGCTTTTCGTCAATAAATTGCTTAAATAAATCGGAATCAAGGGAATATTCCAGATAAATGCTTTATTATAAAAAATAGATCTCAATTAATATTCATAACTGGTGTAGGGTATCATATGGTCGGCCACGCCCGACTATACTTTCTTACTTGTTCTCTATTGAGCAATTATTTTATAATAGACTAGTATATAGATACCTATGTATAATAAAAATTGAACTTTATCTAAATATTTTCAATAAATATTTTAATAAATAAAACACAAAAAAACTATTTTATATTAAAAATAAAATATTTATTAGGTAATAAAAAATTACTAAAACTACTAACTACAAGAAAAATTCTCTGAATTCTTAGACTAATAATATTCATTCCAAAAAAAAAAAAAAAACAATGTTCTTTCAAAGAACAGTAATAATATAAAAAATTTTAAAAACATTTTTTTTACAACTAATTTAAGGTTTAATAACAAAACTAAATTATATCAAATGTTTATATGTGTATGTGTTCTATATAGTAATATCGACAATTTTGTTATTTATTTGCTTTTTTTTTGTTTTAGAAATTTGATGAAATTTTTCAAATAAAATGTTGTTGTTTAAACACAGGACAAATGGGAGTGTAGTTTGGTATAGGATATTTTATTTAATATTTATAACAGTTGTTGATGTCCCTAATATAATAAGGATTTATCTTCATACATGGCATCCCATAGTTTTAATTTTTCAGCTTCTGGCAAATCAATCACTTCCAATTCATCCGAAATATTTAAACATTTGAATGTTGTTGTTGTGTCATCACAACATGTAATCGGTGGCCAATATTGATGTTGTTGCTGCTGCTGTTGATGATGATGAACTTGTTGTTGTTGTTGTTCATCCATATTTGTATTGCTTTCATTATTGACACAATCACTAACTACAGCATCATCATCAACATTCACATCATTATCATCATTAATATGAACATCATGACCATTCATGGGAGAAACATCACCATTAGAATTTCCATCATTTTGCATATGTTTGTAAGCATCCTTTTCAGTGGGAGACTGAAGCTGGTGATGTTGTTGTTGGTATTGCTTTTGTTTGTGATGGCCATTGCTGATACAGCCATTTAATGAAGGCCAGCAAACCGCATCCGTTAGCGGTATATTGGGATCACCACATTCAGCAAATTTTACTAATATTGCTACCATTCGACGTATTGTTGTATATTCAGCGGTGCGATATTTAAGTTTTTTTGCGCCCGCATTGTAGAAAAGATACGATAGATCATCGGCATGACAGGTACCACGTACTTTGCGACCACACGTGATGATGCGCATTAAATTGAAATGTTTCGAATCGAAATCAAAACGATACAAATAGGTGGGCGCTGTAGCATATTGACGTCGTGACAGCAGTGTACGATGTATGCCATGCCAAAAACATTTATATGAAATAAGCTACAAAAAAAGACAAAATACACAAATAGAAGAAATGAAAAAAACAAATAATTTTAATTAAATCTACCTCCATATCTAGTGGCAATATATGTTTTATTGTTGAATATGTTAAAATACTTACATCACTGTACTGCATTAAGGCTTCACAGGTTGTATGCTGATCACCAAAATACATTTGCTTTAACATGCGACCATATTCCAAACGTTTTTCTGGTGTTAAATTCGCATCTTGTGGTGGCAAACTCTCACCCTCACCTATTTCATTTAATAGATATGGATACTTTCTAATTTCGGAAAATGCCAAAAGTCCCTCAAAAGAATTGCCACCTATTAGTAAAGGTATATTATTGCCCCAATTATTTCTTAACATTTCCAAAGGTTCTCTATCAATAACACAATGCTCTGTTTTGTACGGTTCCACACAAGGTCCAAAACTAAAGTTCAATCTGCTATGTTGTCTCTCCTCGGTGGTTAGTAAATCATCACAGGCCTTAAACATAACACTGGGTTGTAATTGCTTTAGATATGCCAATACATCTGTATCCTTATTTTCTCCCTTATAGCCGGTAACTTTTGCCAAACGATAGGCCCAATCTAAGTGAGGTATTTTAGCCCATGGTACCATGGCACAGCCTGACATGGCAACTGCTTTGTGAAATAGATTTTTCGTTTGTTCGGTCAATGTTAAATAGTGTGTAGATGCAGCTCCAGCACTTTCACCAAAAACGGTAATATTTTCAGAATCTCCTCCAAAGTAATGACAATTCTTTTTGATCCATTTTAAGGCCAAAACTTGATCTTTTAAGCCCGCATTACCGGGTACATCACAGCCTTCGTCACCAAGACTTAGGAATCCTGCAAAAAAAAGGAAAAATGAAAACAAAGTGTTTAATTCATCGAAATTTTCACAAAAGTTTTCTGTAAAAAGTGAACTTATTGAAAATTTTCTATGTCTATTTTTCTATTTCTAAAACAAAAAATCTATAAATTTATTATATTCGGCTCTGAAGTAGACCTTGTATGGGGGGTAGGTTCAAATATGGACCGAACCTCACTAAATTTGTTAGAGAAATTTAGGCTCGTATAAGACTTATGTGTGTCGAATTTAATAATTTTTAAGCCAGTAATGAGCATTAAAGTCATTTTCTGAAGGGGACTTCATATGAGAAGTTGGGTCAATTATGGACCGAAAAGTTGGTAGAGAGATTTTGGCTTTCGAAGAACTTAATTGTGAAATATTATCGCTATACTCGTATTTTTTAGCCGGTATTAAACGTTTAAGTAATTTTCGGAAGGGGGCCTTGCATGGGCGGTTGGGTCAATTATGGACCGATCCTCACTAAATTTGGTAGAGAGATTTTTGCTCGCAGAAAACTTATGTGTGTCGAATTTCCTTACTATATTCAAATTTTTAAGCCAGTAATATGCGTTATTGTCATTTTCTGAAGCGGACCTTATATGGGGGGTCATTTATGGGCCGATCTTCCAAAAAAGATGGTAGATAGGTTATTGCTCTAAGAAACTTATTTATGCCGATTTTCATCTCTGTGCTTCTTAACAGTTATACCCGTTAAAGCTGTTTTTTGGGGGTCCACTTGTATGGGGGCTATGAGAAAACGTGGACCGATATTGTCCATTTTTAATACCAGCTATGCTGATTTCAACTGTCTAGCTCCTTCCGTTCGGTCCCTATCGTGATTTCAACAGATAGACGGATGGATGGACATGGTTTCATGTTTTTAGAATTTAATAAGAAAGGGTCCAGAATATATATACATACTTTTGTGGGTCTATGACCAATATTTGGATGTGTTATAAACGGAATGACAAATTCAATATACCCCCATCTTTTTATACCCTACACCACTTTAGTGGGGAGGGTATATTGGGTTTGTGCTGATGTTTGTAACGTACAATAATATTGGTTCCATACCCACCTTAAAGTATACCAGTCGGCTTAGAATCATTTCCTGAGTCGATTTAGCTATGTCCGTCCGTCTGTCTGTCCGTCTGTCTGTCCGTAATGTAAACCTTGTAATCAAACTACATTTCGCAATTTTGAAGATAATTCAATGAAATTTGGCATTATATTCTATTATCCCAGGGACAAAGCCTATTGAAACTGGTTAAGATCGGTCCATTATTTCACCTAGCCCCTATACAACCGAATCCCCGAATAGGCCTGTAAACCTTCTAATCAAACTACAGGTTGCAATTTTTAAAATAATTCAATGAAATTTGGCACATGATCTTCTATTGTATCGGAGACGAAGTCTATTGAAAGTGGTTAACATCGGTCCATTATTTCACCTAGCCCCCATACAACTGAACCCTCCGAATAGGGTTTTTAAACTCATTATTATGTTTAATATATTCGTATCTCGACAAAAAGCTGCAAAACAAGTTCTATACTAGCCTTAAAGAACCTCATGACCTTAGCCTCATTTGTCCTTAGCCCCTACACAAAGCGCCCTTCAAAATTTAACTTTACTATTCACAATTTTATTCAACAATAAATGGCTTAAGTATATCTGATGCAAGGTTCTATTCAATTTAAATGCTTTATTATGAAAACTAAATCACATTTTATTTTTGTAACAGGTGTAGGGTATTATATGGTTGGCCTCGCCCCGACTATAATTTCTTACTTGTTTAATAATAATTAAAATCAACAACTTACCTAAAGGTCCCAATCTGTAGGCAATTGTTACTAGAACAACATTTTCCATCATAATATAGTCCGGACTATATAAATCTCTGGATGCTTCACCCATTTGAAAACCACCACCATAAACCCAAACCAAAACTGGCATTGGTCTGGTAGGCTTTAGCTATAAAAAAAACAGACAAAATGTTCATATTAAAAATCAATAAATGCTTAAAATTCCTTTATTGAAAGGAAAAAAAAATATGTATGAAAATAAATTAAAATCCTCTGTAACTCACCCTTTTTGTGTAGACATTTAAATACAGACAATCTTCACGTCCTTGAACTTGTTTCATTATAATATTATATTGACAGGGTTTGGCACGTACACGTGTACAACGTTTAATGCCCGTCCATGGTTCCGGTTCTACGGGCGCTTTAAAACGCAACTCACCCACTGGAGGCTTGGCAAATGGTATGCCTTCAAAACTGTAATATGTGGTGGGACCGTAGAGTGAACGCCATTTAACACCTTTAATTTTGCCATATGTAGTATCGACAATGACCTTTTCATCTGTACGTAAACGTTTTTGTTTAGTTTTGAACTTGACGTAGCTGCAAGTACATATAAATAGAGGAATGAGAAATGTTTCTATTAGACTGTAGCAATAACAATATCATTTGTGTTTAAAATTTAATTAAAAAAAATTTTTTTATGATTATTTTTGCTTAATTTAATATTGAACTGACTGACCTTTACAATAAATGATTATAAAAATTTATTTATAGTAGTGAGAAAAATTATAGATGTTTCTTATTGTTTTTGCATTGGTAATATTTAGTTTATTTATTTAAATTTGCCCACTTATCAATTTGCCAACAAAATTACAGGTTAAAGATGTGAAAAATATTGTTTATTTATTAAATATGTAGATTAATGAAATTTGGACTATAATACAAATAAATACTGACATTATTGAAATGCTGCTAATACGTCATTAGACTATATAAATATGTTTAATATTTAGTAGGTCCGCTTTGGGTATTTATGGCACACGAACCTGATAAGCTTTAGCAGACAACTGACAATCATTTCAAATTTAGCATTAAACGTACTTAAGCTGGATTTTGAACCCTAAAGATAAGATTTTGTTTATTAGGCTTAATATAATAACTAAGTCAACTACTTAATAAATTTTTGTAGTTAAGTCATTTTTTAAACATATATGTATTTTGTGCCACTATTTTTATCATTTCCACTGTTATATCCTTTCCTGAATGTCATATTAAGCAGATGTTTGCTCTCATTGTACATTTTAATATAAGAAATAAAATATCAATAGTATCGTTAAAATAAGCATAATGCTTAGAAAAATATATTTCAACTAGTGTTGATTTTATGGATCATTTGCATACAGATGATATTCTTTCTATAATCTTATTTAATAATTCCATTAAGAGCTCTATATACTCGCCTAAATGACGAACTCAAGATGAAAAGAATATCAACGAGACAAAAGAAATATAAAGGAATTAATTCGCTAGATTACTAAAGTTTTCTCATATAGCAAATTATGGCCAAATTATCTTTTTGAGAAAATTTTTGCAAAATTTTATTTTTAGAGAAAATATTCTTTTTTACAGAAATGGTTTTAAAGAAATTTTTCTTTTATAGAAAATTTTCTTTTAATGGAAAATTTTATTTTTGTAGAAAATTTATATTTCATAGATTTCATAGTTAGTTAGTTAGTTAGTTATTTGGTTAGTTAGTTATTTAGTTAGTTAGTTAGTTAGTTAATTAGTTAGTTAGTTAGTTAGTTAGTTAGTTAGTTAGTTAGTTAGTTAGTTAGTTTGTTTGTTTGTTTGTTAGTTAGTAGTTAGTTAGTTAGTTAGTTAGTTAGTTAGTTAGTTAGTTAGTTAGTTAGTTAGTTAGTTAGTTAGTAGTTAGTTAGTAGTAGTTAGTTAGTTAGTTAGTTAGTTAGTTAGTTAGTTAGTTAGTTAGTTAGTTAGTTAGTTAGTTAGTTAGTTAGTTAGTTAGTTAGTTAGTTAGTTAGTTAGTTAGTTAGTTAGTTAGTTAGTTAGTTAGTTAGTTAGTTAGTTAGTTAGTTAGTTAGTTAGTTAGTTAGTTAGTTAGTTAGTTAGTTAGTTAGTTAGTTAGTTAGTTAGTTAGTTAGTTAGTTAGTTAGTTAGTTAGTTAGTAGTTAGTTAGTTAGTAGTTAGTTAGTTAGTTAGTTAGTTAGTTAGTTAGTTAGTTAGTTAGTAGTTAGTTAGTTAGTTAGTTAGTTAGTTAGTTAGTTAGTTAGTTAGTTAGTTAGTTAGTTAGTTAGTTAGTTAGTTAGTTAGTTAGTTAGTTAGTTAGTTAGTTAGTTAGTTAGTTAGTTAGTTAGTTAGTAGTTAGTTAGTTAGTTAGTTAGTAGTTAGTTAGTTAGTTAGTTAGTTAGTTAGTTAGTTAGTTAGTTAGTTAGTTAGTTAGTTAGTTAGTTAGTTAGTTAGTTAGTTAGTTAGTTAGTAGTTAGTTAGTAGTTAGTTAGTTAGTTAGTTAGTTAGTTAGTAGTTAGTTAGTTAGTTAGTTAGTTAGTTAGTTAGTTAGTTAGTTAGTTAGTTAGTTAGTTAGTTAGTTAGTTAGTAGTTAGTTAGTTAGTAGTTAGTTAGTTAGTTATTTAGTTATTTAGTTATTTAGTTATTTAGTTATTTAGTTAGTTAGTTATTTAGTTATTTAGTTATTTAGTTATTTAGTTATTTAGTAGTTAGTTAGTTAGTTAGTTAGTTAGTTAGTTAGTTAGTTAGTTAGTTAGTTAGTTAGTTAGTTAGTTAGTTAGTTAGTTAGTTAGTTAGTTAGTTAGTTAGTTAGTTAGTAGTTAGTTAGTTAGTTAGTTAGTTAGTTAGTTAGTTAGTTAGTTAGTTAGTTAGTTAGTTAGTTAGTTAGTTAGTTAGTTAGTTAGTTAGTTAGTTAGTTAGTTAGTTAGTTAGTTAGTTAGTTAGTTAGTTAGTTAGTTAGTTAGTTAGTTAGTTAGTTAGTTAGTTAGTTAGTTAGTTAGTTAGTTAGTTAGTTAGTTAGTTAGTTAGTTAGTTAGTTAGTTAGTTAGTTAGTTAGTTAGTTAGTTAGTTAGTTAGTTAGTTAGTTAGTTAGTTAGTTAGTTAGTTAGTTAGTTAGTTAGTTAGTTAGTTAGTTAGTTAGTTAGTTAGTTAGTTAGTTAGTTAGTTAGTTAGTTAGTTAGTTAGTTAGTTAGTTAGTTAGTTAGTTAGTTAGTTAGTTAGTTAGTTAGTTAGTTAGTTAGTTAGTTAGTTAGTTAGTTAGTTAGTTAGTTAGTTAGTTAGTTAGTTAGTTAGTTAGTTAGTTAGTTAGTTAGTTAGTTAGTTAGTTAGTTAGTTAGTTAGTTAGTTAGTTAGTTAGTTAGTTAGTTAGTTAGTTAGTTAGTTAGTTAGTTAGTTAGTTAGTTAGTTAGTTAGTTAGTTAGTTAGTTAGTTAGTTAGTTAGTTAGTTAGTTAGTTAGTTAGTTAGTTAGTTAGTTAGTTAGTTAGTTAGTTAGTTAGTTAGTTAGTTAGTTAGTTAGTTAGTTAGTTAGTTAGTTAGTTAGTTAGTTAGCTAGTTATACACATCAACTTCCGGAGAGATGCACCCACGCCTCTATCGGGTCTATTGTGTGCGCCTGTGCCTTAAGTTGGAATTGAACTCACCACCTCCCGTCTACCAGACAAGAACACTAACCGCTGACCTACCGATATTTTGAATAGGAAATTTTCAATACATTTTCGTTTATAGAAACTGTTAGGTAAATTTTCTTTTTATCGAAATTTGCTTTATATATATAGTTAAGAAAATTACCATAAACATTTTAATAACGTCAGATACTTTTCCACTTCTGACCTGATTGTGACAAATACGCTATTGTGTAGTACAATCTCATAGTCGTATCATAACAATTACATGTATTGAAATGAAGAATACTTCTAAACTTAATATCTGTTGAACTGCTATATCTGTATTGTATTTTAATTTAATTTAATTCATATTAAATGATTTTTTTTCTACAAAAATATACAAATAACATCTACTTAGCTTATCGGAACAAATGGCATACTAATTTTTTTTCTACAAATAGATTATAGAATATACCAAATCCGGTTTATTGTTATTAACAGCAATAATAATTTATAGAAAGACAGACCTTTAGACAGCCCGACAGTCGGTCTATCACTCTAGCAGTCAACCAAACATTCAACAAGTCATACAAAACAAATCATCATGTCTTTATGGGATGCGTTTAAAATTAATGATTCGTTATTGAATCATTATGATTGGAATGTATTGACTCGTCTGATGCACACGCTACATTAACACACATACTTGATGCTGTAATAGATTGAGTTTATCAACTGTGTGTCATGTGTGTAGGAATGGTTTTTTTTTCTCTCTTTTTTCGGTCTATTATCAGTAAATTAAGACAGAGTTCTTGAAAAATAAAATGGAAAGAAATCATTGTGCCGTTGAACTGTTTAATATTTGTCGTAGACAGTTTAATTATAGAAATAATGAGATTTTTTTTACCAATGCAGTCGATTTTTAAGTGTTTTTTTTTTGTTCTTATCTTTACCCACCTCATTTGAATCATAAGTTTATTGTTTCCAAATATTAAAGGGGAATTTTGTTTTATACTTGTTATACTTGTCAAAAATGAATAAATTTGCATATTTGTCTGTTGATTTGAAATGAAATACAGCATTTATTTTAGATGAGAATGATACTGCACCTTTATATGTCTAAAGGTATAAGTGTAAAATATTCAAGTGTCACTAGAGAAATAAAAAATTGAAATATTTAAATGTTATGCAGAACGTTTCAGATATACATACATAAATATAATCATTCGATTTCAATTGGAATATTTTAAAAAGTATTAAAGTATTTTAACAATACAAAATCTAAAGTAAATTTAGTAAATTATTGTTTAACAAATTAGAGAATGTTGAGTAAATTCTTATTATCTTGTTATTAGCATTTTATAACATTTGAGAAATTAAGGATTTCTAAAGAAAATTTAGGATTTGTAGCATTTAAGATAAACTAGATGATATCTATACCATAGTGTTCTCGAGTCCTTAATGATCTTAAATTGAATCTAGAATCTGATTTCAGAATGATAGTACTTGAACTGTCAGACAGACATGGCTTATTCGTACATCCACACTATATTGTAAATATCAGGCATCTCACGACGAAATGGTGAAACATTTGAGCCTAGAACTGTCCTGGAGAGCTAGACTCTCCAAAAAGTCAGAAATAATAAAGCGGACATGTTACCTCTGGTGATGTGAAATGTATCCTCGACCTTTCCTTGGAATGATTTGACCTGGGTTCGAACCAATAAGCCATATATATATTTTCGGCAGAGTTTTGGACTTTGTCTTGTCCTATGGAGAGCACGTGGTAAAAACCAAAATCGCGGTAAGAGAATGTTGGTTAAAATACTGTTACTGGAATAAGTTCAGAGCTGTTGCCGAAAAGACAACAAATACCCCGCAGAGAAGAGACTAAGCTAAGTGTCAATTGAATAAGATAACGGAATGGATGAAGTGTTAGGCGGGCCTTCCGCTACCAGTATACCTAGATAGAA